TGGAAATGATTTTTAGGACTACAGATCATGTGCTACCAGCTCCATAACCGCTCAGAGCGGCGTGTATGGCAAGGGGCAGCTCCTCGGGTATTTGGGTTCCAAACCAGGGGAGACACTGGTGAAAAACAATTCCTGTCTTGAGGAAGTTTCAGAACTAGACAGCCAGTTCAGGCTCCCACATGCTGGTGTTTTTACACGCTTTTAATACAGAGCCAGGCAGTCTCCTTGCTGTTCTGAATGCTCTTAAAAGGCATTAAAACACAATTCAGTTTGTCTCATCTTGAGATAACAAGGACACAGATAACATTTCCACAGAGATGCTGGTACCTTTTTTTTGTAAGCTTTGAGGGAAAAATAAATTAAAAAAAAAAACAATAATGGCCAAATCTTCATATCCTGTAACTTCTGGCTTTTAGAATTCAACTTACTTCTGCTGTTACTTCAGATTCCTCCTCAACCTACAGCAGAGAGATCAGAAATACAGATGAGATCTTTGTGTCAGAACCACACCAAAGCCCCTACTGCTCCTGTCTGCATTAGCACTTCCTAGGACTGCAACATATTCCTACAGAATTTGTAAAAAGCATTACCAAAAGCTGCAGATGAAAACAAAAACAGTGGTCTTTACCTGTTATGAGGAGACTGCCTAATGCAGTGAAAACCTCTTATTTTGCCCCCCCACCAAAAGGCCAAATCTGGGGCCAGACTAATCTGAATTGACATAATCTGACCATTTGGGCTGTCAACACGTTCCTTTTTTATAAAATGGGCTGACTTTCTCCACGTACAAAAATGGTGATAGCAAAGTTTTTCCACATAAAATTGTATCAAATACTGGTAATTTTCATGTTCCGCAAGAAACAAAATCTGAGCAATAATCAAAGGAATTTCACACAGAAATGAAATCAGATAAGACTCAGTCTTTTATTCCAAAACATTTTTCTACCAACTCTGTGTAACTGATTATACCCAACTTCACTGGACATGTAATTAGTGATTACTGTGACAGTCTAATATATTAAGTCCCCGAGAAACGAAGATCTCATTGCTCCACATCTCCTTCTGCATTAAAGCATTAGTCTATTACATGGATCATTTCACAGCTGGCTCTGATTTATTTTGGGTTTGATGCAGCAATTAATTCCTCTCAGAACTGAGAGAACCAAAGGATGTAGTCAGTCATTTCTGTAGTCTCTGGTTACAGTGTTATTTGCTTAAAGAGGTAAAGTTCAAATATGTATTTTTTTTAGCAGTGAACTCCTAAAGTCCTTCAAGGCCACGTGACTTAAAATGAAACTTTTTTTTTTCCCCCTAGCAAAGTGAAATTTGTTGTTTACAGTCACAATGAAAAACATTTATGATTTAGTGACTATAAATAAGCAGGTTCCTGTGCTAACTGACTTCCCTCGGAGCTCTGTCAGTCAGGACAGGTACTTAGCACATGCACAGAGATAAAAAGTCACCAGAAAACCAGGGAGGAACCTTCCAGAGCCTCCTATTTTTACCAGTTACACTCTGAATTACAACCACACTTTCCCATATTAACAGATCACATGTCTGAATCCTCATCCTGAAAAATCAATGGGCACATCTTGAACAGTGACTTGATTTTTCTGGCTATTTTTTTCCCCCCTTTCTGCCCCATTCTCAAAACTCTTGGATTGCATGGCCTTTACAGCTGTACCACAGGCAGTTCTGTGCCCTGCTTTATACCTGCATATACGAAGAAATAACATGGCATTAACTTAACTTACACCTTGAAGTTTTTAAACAGGTCATTTAAGAAAAATAAGATTTTTTTTCCCATCAGTTACTGATCTAAAGTTCAGATGTGAACTCCAGCTCAGGAACTCAAACACATTGTGCACACAGAGATGACAACACTTATTTATCTATATGTATGTTCTGAGTATGGGCACAGCAGTACCAAGGGGAGGTGTCCAAGCACTGATGCCTTGGTTTTTTCCCTTTTGATACTTCCACCACACCAAAAAGCTACAGCAGCACTGCAGGTTGTTCTGAAAGAACTTCAGTCTTCACTGCTGAGGCCTGATCTCCTGCCTCATATAGGAATAGGTTTTGTTGGGAAGAAATACTACCAACAACAGATGATAGGTTTCTAGCACTGCAGTAAATTAGTTTCTTGGAACTGACTTCAGCTGAAAAAGGAGGTTGTGGTGAGGCTGGTGTTGGTCTGTTCTCCCAAATTACTGATGATAGGACAAGGGCAAATGGCCTCAAGTTGTGCCAGGGAAGATTTCAGTTAGCTATTAGGAAGAATTTCTTCACTGAGAGAGTGGTGAGGCACTGGAACGGGCTGCCCAGGGAGGTGGTGGAGTCACCATCCCTGGAGTTGTTAAAAAAATGAGTTGATGTGGCACTTGAGGCTATGGTCAAGTGGTTAGGGTAATTAGGAGGAAAGTTGGACTTGATGATCCTGGAGGTCCTTTCCAACCACGGTGATTTTATGATTACAGAATTTATTTATATATCCCTATTCGTGTAGCAGTCTTTATTTTAACATCAAATGACTTTTAAAATCTCCCATCTGTGTTAAAACCTGAAAAAACCAGTGCTATTTCTTTGTTAATTTTATTGATGCTTTGTGTGTGTAAAAGGGATTTTTATAATTTTCTAAATTAGTTACACAATAAAAGATGTGCAATGTTAATGCTGCAGATTAAAAATGTTACCAGGTTTTGAGTTTTTATCTCAATAGTGGTCTGTAAAAGTACAGAATCACAGAATCATTTTGGTTGGAATAGACTTTTAAGCTCAAGTCCAACCATTGCCCCAGCACTGCCAGGTCACCACTAACCCATGTCCCTCAGCACCACATCTCCATGGCTTGGAAACCCCTCCAGGGATGGGGACTCCACCACTGCCCTGGGCAGCCTGGGACAGGCCTGGACAGCCCTCTAGGGGAAGAAATCATTCCTCATGTCCAACCTAAACCTCCCCTGGCACAGTTTGAGGCTGCTTCCCCCTGTCCTATCACTTGTTCCTTGGGAGAAGAGGCCAACCCCCACCTGGCTCCAATCTCATTTCAGTGCTAGAAGGTCTCCCCAGAGCCCCCTTTTCTCCAGGCTGAACAACTCCACTTCTCTCAATCATTATAATCTCAGTACCAGCCCTCCCTAAAAAACTGCCTTAATAATTCTGTTTACCATAATGCCAGTTCAGTTCAGGTAACCCCATGCCCAGCATACATGCAGAACATGCCCTGTTTATCAAATACACATTGCTCTATAGAGATTTCAGACCACACAGATCATCCCAGCTCAAGGCATTTATACACACTGAACAAATACATAAATACAATGGTAGTGAGAGCACCTGCTGAAGAGCTGAGAAGAGGGAGAACTACTGCTGCTCACTGCACCTTCCTCCCATGTGAAGTAGAGCTTGAACTGTGCAGGATGAGTGTGGTGGCCTGGGAAGTGGCACGACCCAGTGCATTACTGTGTGCTGACTGTCAGTGAAAGATGGAACACACGCTGGAGGGACACAAAGTGACTGTCCCACCAAATTCTGAATGGCTGTGCTATTGCTACCAAGACCTACTACAGTATTTAAGTCCATAAAGAAGGAATTGTGAGCAGAAACTGCTGGTTACAGGTTGAGTTTACAACATCAAAATTTCAACAGTTTCTCTACTCGGGGAAAATTAATAATAGAGTATCCCATTGGAAGGTATTAGGTATCTTTAAAATAGTTAAGTGATTTGTTATCTTTTAATTACTTCCTGCCAGTATCCATAATTCTCTCTAAATGTTCAAAACTAGTTTAAAATCCAGCATAGAATTGCTATTGTTTTTATATCATCAAAAAAAGAAAGATTAATGACATATTTCAGTAATCTAGTAATGACTGGCTTTTTTCGTTGTCCAGGCTGTATGTAATCCTCAGTGGATCTTAGATCTAGGCTAAAAAGGTATTTAATTTTGGCTTTTCCGTTGCCAAGGTCAAACATCACCTAAGTATGTATAGGGAACATCTGTTGGGATAATTTATTTGACTAACACAGAGGGTAGGATTAAAATTCACTAATTTCTTTGGTCCAATCCTGTGTTTCTATTAAACAATACAGGTATTTGTTCAGTTTGACAAAATTTCCTCACTTTCCATGTGGGCACATTTATGCATATCCCTAATTACTGGAACTGGCATGGGAATACTGGGATTTGTCAGTATTTCATACCTGCATATACTCTGAGAATGATTATTCCTGCATTTTGAAAAAAAACCAAAACATTTTAAAGAATTCACAATCCTTTAACCAATTCCCAAGACTCTTTGGTTTCCATGGAATTCCACTAGATTAGATTAGAATGGAGATCAGTGGTTACACATGAAATTATAATGCATGGCAACCCTCAGCATCCAAAAGTCCTACTTACAAGCTTTTGGAGAATATATTAAACGCATGTCATCTGACCATAGTTTATTCTATCCTTGATGTGGATCAGAGTAAAATCTTCTAGACTAACAATAAAAACATTTTTAAAAAAAAATCAGTCCCTCAAATTGTTTAATTTTCGAATGTAAATTAATACCAGTATAGACATTTTATCCAAATCAAGTATGGAAGATATAATCTTGGCTTTTCTAGGGTCAGAAGGGATTTCAGCAGGGTCAGGGTTCTGTTGCAGCTTTCTAACACTGTTGCCAGTAACTTTACTTCCAAGAATTAACTTCAATATTATTTTACCTTTGTGGAAGATTACAATCAAATGCATGTAACAGAAACTAGTAATGCTGGAGTAAAGTTATTACTATTAGCCAGTCTACTGAAACTAGAAACTGCAATCTATTGTCCTGTCTTTCAAAGAAATAAAGACAATAAATCTAACATGGTAAAAAACCCCTGAGACTGATTTCAGATTAAGTTCTACCTCCATGTACTCATTTTCCAGCTGATTCAGTAAGAGCTGTATGAGCAATAACCAACAGAACTAAGAGGAAGATGTCTGAGGAACTTACCTGAGTTTTCATCTGACTTATTTTTTTTCCAGGGTTCTTGGCAGAGATATTCTTTCAACTTTTTGCATGTCAGACAAAGCTAAAAAATTTGGTTTTTCTTTCCCTGAGTGACTGTAGTGGAAGGGAAGAATCGGATGCGTTTTAAAGTCAGCTGCAGAAAACAGAGAAAAAAATTAATTCAATATCCCAAATCAAACCATATCTATTTTAATATTCACTATGAGTGATCACAGGTTCCAATATATCTTGTTACAAAAAACAGTGTATTAAGCCTTAGGGTAAAAAGCCTCAAATTTGTAACTGAGAAGGGCTCTGAGGAACATGCTTTCTCCCCAGTGTTACATACCCCAGCTTATCTCTTCTCAAAGCAGCAGTGTAACTGCCACCAATTTTATTTTATAAATATGATCATTCAAACTACTTTGAGTAATTTGAAGTCTGATTCTGTTTCCAGATCTTGCAAGATGGCAAGACGTGCTGTTCAGTCATTCACATTTTAATCTTCAGTCAGCTCAACAACAGTATCTTGTAAAAACCACAAAGTCTATTTCAGGTTTTGCTTGAGTTTCAAAACTAATTTTTTTTTTTTCTTTTAGGCTTAAGGCTTTTCTCCCTCCAAGCCTTTTTTTTTTCCTTTCCAAGTTTAAAACTTGTAATTCTGCTAGAAAAGTATCTTGTGAAGGCCTTTAAAATTTATAGTTTACACAGAACAAACTAGTACCAACAAATAGATTTTAAAGTCTGATGTATTTAATTCATATTTATTGTAAAATGCCCAACAATTTTTTTTTTTTAGTATGGATAATAATCATGTATATTTACAAACATTCAACATGTACTAGCAACTTTCCATAATTCTGGAAGATTGGGATGGGAGGAAGAACACACCAATGAACTACTGCTAAAATTACATTTCATATTGGAAAAGTTAAATTTCTCCCTCTGTGATTTGGTCTCATCACCAGTGCAAGTCTCATTCCTAGTGTATTTACTGTTAGCTGCTATTTTGTTGTTCCCATAATATTGCAAATAGGCATTATTACTTTGCTTACAAAAATGCAGATAGGCTGCATGTTCATTTGTCATTGTTTCTCCTTTTTTCTTCTTGGCAGCTTTGGAGGCATTCCAGTTAATTAGAAACTGCCTTTCCATTTCTTTAATTTCCTTCCCATCAAGGGATTCTGTCAAAGAGAAGAGAACATTTTCTGTGATACTCAAAGTTAACTAAAAGGCTCTGCAAAGCTGTACCTGCTTAGATATAGAAGACTAACTTGATTCCTTTTATGCTAGAATTATCTCAAAATAATAATGTAAACTGCCTCACAGTGAGGTTAAGATTAAGTAACACAGAATATAAGTGTAAACTGCTTTTAAGCACAAATGTTATCTATGAAATTCAAACATGGTGAGGTCTGACCTGTGCAATTCTAACTGCACAACTAAAACACCTGAGCAACAGCTGCTGGCTGTTGTGGGAGGAGACGAAGCCTAGCTTTGAAAACTGGTTTCACAACATCTGGAATATGAGAACAAAAAAGTCTTGGTGTCATAGCAATCTCACCAATCTTTCAGTATAAAATGAATGATTACTACTACTAGTAGCAAAAGCTAAGCAACATGCTTTGTGCACTTGACCACATAAGCAGTTTTAGCTACATTACCTGTACCTAAATTAAAAAATTATCATTCGATATAAATGTCTGTGGCACTAATTGTGTTTACAGACACAGTGCAATTCAAAAATGATTAATTTAGACATTTTCTAAAGTTATTATCTAAACCTGTGAGCGTTATGGGGTAGTTTTGGGGACTGGCTGTTGGTTTATTTTTTACCTAAAGTCTGTGACATTATTATAATCCTGTCCCTGTACTTTGGTTTGTGGCAGATGGGGTTTCCTGTAAGATCCATTCTGCGCAGCTTCGTCCACTTGCTTAGTACAACCTCCAAATCCTGCAACAGATACAAGAACAAAACCTTGTGATTATTTTTCCACTTCCAGAGTAAAATTCTACAGGAGTTTGATTTGTTCAGGCAGGCCCAAATCCTGCACACAGAAATAATTTGGTGAGACTATTCAGGTATTAATATGCACATTAAGAATGTGCATTTTCAAACAGTGGCATGTGGCATTCCTTCAACAGATTGTAATTGCACAGAAGAACTGGTGATGCAGTTGGAAAACTGCATCTTTAAGGGTACAGTAATGCCAGCTATGCCAAATTACCATAAAGCACCTAAGGCTGAGGAATTACCAGCCAAAAAATGTGTATGCTATGTCATGTATGTTCATGCATCTCTGTGGTCTCACGGAGCCTGTAAGGTATCAAAAAATTATGGAAGAATAAACACTTTACAGAGAAAGAACAGACTAAAAAAAGCTAAAAATCATGCCAAACACAGTAGACTGCCTCTCTCTTTCTGTGTATGTAAAACTGTACTTCAGAGGAGAAAGAGTAACCCCTCCTGTGTCACTGTGGGTGGTCAGTTATAGCACTGGCCCAAGTAGTGAAGGTTTTGAAATACACCTTTCTCCAGCTGGGTTTCGGTCTGGTTACCCAAGGGCAGTATGACCCAGATAAAACTTCTCTGTCTCTTAAATACAATAAATTCATGTTAAAAGGATGCACAGCTTAGCAGATAAGTCCTTTCTACTCAGATACCCTACTTTCTGAAATACTTTCTTTTCAAGATTTCACTTAACTTGGTGAGTTACTCTCGATAGGTTTCTTTATATGTATGAAAAGCTTAAGGAGGGATTCGAAACAAACTATGAATACAAGAGGAGAGGCTATTTATATTCTACAGTTGTAAGAATTTGGAAAAAAAACTACTAATCGTGATGTGACAGTTTGTAAACTGCAAAGCCTCTAGAATTTTGTAGCTCGATGCCAATAATGAAGTATCTAGTGATGCAGAGATCTCCTAGCTCCTTCAAATGTAGAAAGTCCCCTGGGTAACACAAGCAGGGAGGATTCTGGTTTTGGAGGCTCTACTCCTCCCATGGTAGAAAATCCTCCTGGGAATATTCTATGTGTTATATAATGTTTAGAATAATCACATGGGAAAGGAAGTGGCAGCACAGCCTCACCCCTCCAAACCATATCACTTTTCATCTATCAATTATCTTTCACCTATCATTATCCAGTGATGACAAAACCTCTTTAGAAAAATAGAGAGCAGAAGTCTGGCTCTGTAAGTGACAAGACTGATAAAGCAATGCAAGAAACTCCGAGGACGACTCCACATGAGGTGGCTGGTACATCTCATAATGTTACACAGCAAAGCCTTATCAGCAGGTATCAGAACAGCAGCATGATAAGCCCTACAGGTTAGCTGCTAACACTTAATCACAAACACGACAGTTTAGGGGAAAAGTATCTAAGGCTAGGTTTGTTAAAAAAGAGCATTTAGCAAGTGTATTTATTTATTCTCAGCTGAGCTCTCAGGCATTGTCACTGATATCTGTAACCTGTTCTAGATATCACTAGAAAGAATTTTTTTTGAGTAATAGCTTTGCAACACAAAATTGTCTATTACTGAAACAAAACTTATCCAGTTTAACTGTGATGGATGTGTATGACGAGTGCTGGAGATTTTTGTTAGCTGTTACTTACTTGATAAATGACCCAGAACGTGCTTACCCCAGTGTATGTTTATCTAAGAGCACACTAATCCTGTGCTGAAATATGATTACCCTTTCGATACGCTCTAGTTGTTCATTGCCTTCCTGTCTCTAATAAAGTGCTTTCACTTCCCAGCCTTTCAATATGTGGTACTAGAGGGACCAGACACTCTTTTGGGCAGTCTCTGTTTGATAAATGATCATGTCATGCTATCACTTTGAGGCCTGCCACAAAATACTGACGAGCAAATTATATTCCACTGAGGGGGGGAGGGCAAGTGCCTTGGCAGGCGGCTGTAGCACGGGCAATAACATTCCTACCAATTAACCATGGCCATCTAAGAATTGGTATTTGACCAGTGTGCTCCAGTTTTATTGGAAACGTCTAGTCCGACTGCCCCAACTATATCTGCAGAGAGCAATTTGTCACTGTTTTGATTACCTGTCATAATCTATTTCAGAAAATCTATAATTTTTCTCTTGTTCCTGACTCAGTTCTGAAGAGAATGAATTCATCTTCTGTGATATCCTCTTGTCATAATCAATACTGGGCAGAGGTTGAATAAATTAAAAACTTAGGAGATACAGATTTTTATAGGTATTTCTAGATATATTTTCTCTATCTACTCAAATACTCACACAAGTCATAATCTTTCCAAAACGAATGTACATAATAAATAAATAATATTCTGGCTTTTTGTAAACAGGGCTAGCTGTGGGGGTTTTAAAATAGGAGTAGTGTTTTAAAAAATTCCCTTAGAATTCCAGCCCAAATGCACTGCAGCCTAGAAGTCCTTGTGAACCTGACCAAAGGAAACCATAATCTCAACAGGATAAATAAATGAAGTAGCAAGCAAGGGAAAAAGAAGAAAAGCCAGTTTTAGTAAAATCAATTACATTCTTGATGACTGACCTCAGCCACACTTTTTACCTGTGGGACCTAGTCATAGGAAGTTGTGTTGCATGAATTGAGAAAAATGACTTAATCTTGTTCAGTCTAGTGTTTAGACTGCATTATATAAACTTCAGTCATGTGAAACAAGGTCATATGCCTTGATGTCTGTTAATTATGCTAACAATGCCCTGAATTAGCCAGAGCCTTAAGTGATTGAATTTACTAGCCTTAATTTGCAACTACACTGAAATCAACATGGGATTGCTGAAAAACGAGGGAGTATGGGTTCTCAGATCATGCGAAAAACTAAGATAAATTTTTAGCTATAAAATAGTTACACTAATTGTATAACTTTGCATGAGAGGTCTGTATTTGGTGCATTTCTTATGCCTTTCACATTTTTCTCTTTTGCCAAGATAGCCCTTTTTTCCTGCTGCCACCTAGCCCTGCTGTGCAGAGGGCAGCTGGTGCCCAGCCCTGCTCAGCCATGATGTCTGCTCCACGTCCCCGTGGGTGAAGCAGAGCTGGGCACAGAGCCCTCTGACACTGCTCTGTCATCTTCTTGTGCCCTGATGGTCTCCGATCAATGCCAGACGTTCCTGGGGACGTTCTGATGGCAGTGATGGGGAGGCAGGGACGGGAGAATGAGGGAGGTAGTGCTTTTGGCATGACAGAGGAATACACGTCAGAGTTTTGAAAAGAGGGGGCGAGAGGGAGGAGAATGGAGGCAGTGTGTGTGGAAATGGAAGAGCCTCGGCTGCCCGTAACAAGTTCAGCCAGCAGAAGCATTTAAGTGTGTGTAGTACAGCTGTACACCCCCTAAAATCCTAGTAGAATAACATAAGCTATGGGATCATGAAATTCAGGGTTGCAAAAAAATTTAAACGTACTCAAAACTTCCCTCAACTATTTTCTTTAAACATTTAGTGGATGTATGAGATTGTTCTCCTGCTAGATGTTCACTGTAAGTTAAAGCCTCTCAAACAGAGCTAAAACTGACTTTTAAAAAAGATACTTTGCATGGCCTACTGCTTTTTCAACAGTTTGGGGTTTTATTAATTTAAATAAGAATTCATGTAGGTGATAAGTAGCACGAGTAATTGCAGGTGGGCAGGTGGCTATCCAGCTGCATTATGCTGTGTGTGTTAGACACATGCAGTATGGTCATTTCATTCTCCAGGTCTGCAAAGGAAATTTAATCATGATTCAATACTATATTTGATAATAGTTATTGTAATAATTACTAACTAATGAAAGGGAACTTTTATAAGGAAATAGAATGTACATGCAAACCAGTAATGAAAGAGTTTATTTTAATCAAGGCTTTGTCCTGGTGATCTGAGTTATGATTTAAGCCAATTCATTTTAGTATTTATTAATAAAAACACACATTTCAAAAGAAGCAGAACTCTAATGCTTATGATTTAGATTAAATGAAAGAAGTGTTCAATAAGTCATTTATAAAGTTTTTTCCATGCTTTGCTGTGCAGTGCTGGTGCCTGTGTACTGTTCAACATAAATTTGATATTTAGTTACTGTCATGACACTACCAGGATTTTTTTTTAACTGCTCTTTATGTGGCTTTTATTTACATTAAAATAGAGACTTAGAAGCTGTATAAAATACTACGAGTTAATTAACAAACAACAGCCATGTCATCTTTGCAAATGAAGCCACCAATAGTTGCTCAGACAGCCAAAACATACACATTAACTACATTTTTGACAGATTATATTATAGGCTTAAATTCTGTGCATTTACTGCTCAATTGCCAGTTTAGGTAGGATTAAAGGACACTTGGACATCCTAGATAAACAGTTCTCCATTTTTACTCTCAACAAGAGTTTTGGATGAGAAAAGAAAACATGCTTACAATGTCAGAAGCTCAGTAACCACGGAAATAAAGTTTATTTTTACTCGTCTGTTCAGTGGTAAAGATGAATTTGACTCGTTTCTTATCACCCATACTAAATAGAACAAATATTTATTTTAATACCTTCATGTGCTGAAGTTGATTGTCAGCTGCTGTAAGATAAGAAAGATTTTCCAAAACTGATAGTTCTTCTAATTCATCAATGTTGTTATTGCTGATATTCAATACAGACAAAGATTTCTGGAGGAAGAAAAGCAGAAAGAGAAAGTTGTTTTTTTCATGCCATGCATGAGTCGAGTTTTAAGTTCTTACAGAAAATTCTCTTAGAGGAAGAAGAATCACATGAAGCAGAAACGTGCAAATAAAACATATTTCAAATGCAAATACACATATTTCAAACATTGTTCTATTTTAGTGTTCCATCTTGCCTTAAAATGCTGTTTCTTTCAGTTTTGAAGTCAAACCAAAGTTACCACTCAGTTATTTCAGGAATCCTTAGTAAGTATGGAATTTTTGTTCTCCTCTAAACATGTTCAGATGCCTTACAGAGTTCTGCAGATGCTACTAACTCTACATTTGAAGCATAAAATGAACGCAGCCATTGTCTGCCTCTTCCAAGGCCACATTCTGATACAGAGAGTGCATAAACTTCATCTCCTCAGTCAAAACATTCATGGTGTCGTCATCACCCAAACTTCTGCCAGTGGTACACAGAGAGCTGCCTGGTGCCCTGGGTTTGGCTCTTTCATCTCTAACAGCACTAAGGCCGGAAACAGAAGAAGATGAAGTGATGTCTTAAAGAGGGACCAAACATTTTGCACTCAAAGGATAAAACCAGAATGTTTTCTCATGTAGCTTCCACAAAGACGCTACATAGTCAAGAATGCAAAGTGTTTCCAACAAAACAAAACACAACCCACACCAAAAGACTTTAAATAAAAGCCATGAATTAAAAAAATGCTAGTGACTCTACGCTAGGATGCTTAAAACCATGGGAGTATATGCTAGGAAGGCTACAGCTCAATAAGCTCCCTCTACTTTCATTGTTTCTCCAATATAGAAGGAGCAAAGGAAAAGTGCTCTCCCAGGAATGGCTTTTCTATTGAAGGAAAAATCCATGTCTTGGATTACTTAATTGCTAAGCAGAAAGAATTAGAGCAAGGTCAAATATTTATAATACAAAAATGAACTTCATCTTCAGGAAGAAGCCTTATCAAGCCCCGGCTACACTTTGGGAGACAGAGAAAGGTGAATTACTAAGATCCATTAGTAAATAAAGTCTTGTTTTTTTAACCACTTCAACAATACATTTGATGTTTACTGAACAATTAATGTGTTGCAAGAAAACTTCAAAAGCTGACTTTCCTAAAATCTTGTCATACCACAACAGAGGAAAATTGCCAAATGAGAACTGAATGCTTTTGACTAAGTTGCTCTTAATATAAAAAAAACCAAACAAACAAAACAAAACAAAACAAAACAAAACAAAAAACTGACTGCCCCTTTTTTTTTTTGGCCATTGCATTCACTAGAGAAATGCAAAAGGCAGTAAATAAAATAATGTAACAATCAAATCAGAGAAATACCAGCAAAATAATTCCCTCCAAACTACATGGACTGAGAGAACAAAGAGGGATAAATTCCTACCCCTTTTTTTGTTTATTCACATTCTGTTGGTATCCAGCATCCACACAATAGGCAGAAAAGGAAAACACATAGTGATCAAGTCCTAATCACTTCTCTTAAAAATGCTGATCTACTGATTAACAGATCATGGAAATTCCCAAAATATACTTACTGCCAAGGACCCAAGAGATCTTGGATCAAACAGAAGCTTTTCACTGAGAGGGAGGTGTTGACTTTCAATATGCAGCTCCTTTAGTTTTTCTGTTTTTTCCAAACCCTCTACTACAGTGATGCAGTTGCCCCCTAAATACCTGCAGAATAGAATACAAAATAGATTTAGTATCTTTTGAAAGTAAGAGCAAACACAAGGCCTCAATATATTAAAAAAAAAAAAAATTTAAAGTATTATTGAATAATAACTGGAAATTTCAATAGAAAAAGTAAATAATCCAGCATGTGAGTAGAACACACATCTAACAGATCCAAGGTATTTTAGCAGCTTTATATATTCCTATTATTATTGTTAAATGGCAGGAAAAAAAATGCAAATAAATATATTAAGATGATTCTGTCATTACTTATGTCATGGGAGGCTTCATCAAAATAATCATAAGCAATTACTTTTATTTGAAAAGCAAAAGTTAAGAGCTGAAACGACCTTAATGGCAACATAATTTTTTAATGTCTTAGTGCAATAATTATTCTTTTACCAGTAAAAAACCCCAAGTTTTCAACTTACAGTTTTTCAAGGTTTTTCAGTGGTGAGAGATTTTCCATACACGAAATACAATTGTTCTGAAGGTAAAGGTGTGTCACGTTTGAAGCAAAGTCCAAGTTCTGGATTTGACTGATTTGGTTATCATACAAATAGAGAACTCTAAGATTTTTACACACAGAGAGGTCACCCTGCAATAAAGAATAACAAATTAATGCCACACGGAGTTCACTCACTGCCTGCTTCTGGAAGCTGTTAAACTTGTTTTTAAATTTCAGGTCTGCTGCAGGGTTTATACATTTTCACCTTTAACATTTTTAACAATTATTTTTCATAAAAAAACCTGAGTTACTGTCAGTAATCACCAGATTTAAGACTGAAATCTGTCACTACTATTCTGCAGCACAGAAGCTGAGGACTACAGCCCTCAGCAGCAGGTACATCCCATCCTGTGTGACCTTGTTCCCTGCCCTGCCTTTATCAGGTGGGTTTCAGAAGAGCACATAGTTGTTGTCTCCATCAAACCTCAGTGATGCAATGGAAACCAGTTCTTGGCAAAGGAATATTCACTTATACAGAAACTTGCCCTTCAATGTATTTTAATACACTCCCAAGTCTAGGATCCTGCTCACAAGGAAACTTGACATTTATGAATTCCTCTTAAATAAGGAAAAGGTCCCACGTTCTTAGGAGGGTTTCTGTAAAACATCTCTACAGCATCTGATGAACCCATTCTAACCAAGTGGCCTGAACAAATGAGTGGCTCATGGTGGCTGGGCACAATCCCAGCAGTGGGCAGAATAAACCCATTTGCTGGCACACATGTGGTCACACAGAACGAGCTGTTCCACCCTTCTAAAGCAGAAACCCCCACATGCAACAACTCACTTCCCCAGGGCTCAGCAATTTCACAATGTGCTCAGTATCTTGAGGGGATGTGAATTAATTTGGGACTTATGGAACCCGTGTACATTTCCTATTGTTAAACTCAAAGGAAATAGGACTGGGTTAAGATTGCAGGTTTCGTCTTTGAAAATGGAAAGGTCATGGATTATTTCTTAAATTAACAAGTCCCAGGGAGCAATTTAAAAAAAAAAAAAAAGCAGATTTTAACCAGACTAATTTGAAAAAGCCATGCCATCAGCCTGAATTTGTTAACCTCACATGGCTTATATCCTGCTCCTGAACTTCCCTCTCCTTTCTCAGACTTCCTCTGAAATCTAAGGAATAAATCACAGATAGATTGAAAAGATTGTGCTGCAAGTTAACTACTCTTTGTAACATTCCCAAGACTAGAAAAAACATGGCATTAATGAGAATGAAGTGTTGCACTTAATAGTATGTAATATCATTCCTTTGTATTTTATTAATATTTTATTGATGTTTTTATTTTTGGAATAGAATTAAAAAAAAATCTAATCTGCAAAATTACCATTTCCTGACATCATCTTCTACTCCACAGTTCACATTTTTATAAATGTAACAATCAATAAATACAAGTCTTTAAATAAAAAACAAACAGTTGCTGAAAAGACCAACTTTGCTGATTCAAAGGCAACAGCGTGGCTGTATCGTATAGAAAAAGTGTCTCAATGATTAATTTGAAATATTCTGTTTCTTAGGTGACTAAAGGGGCTTGCAAGTGGAGTTCTGGTGACTTCCTGAAAGCTCCTTTACAATATAGCAACTGTACAAAATAATCAAAAAAGCAAATTTCTATAACAGCTTTGTGAAATACTGCAAAAAAATACTTAAAAAAGCCCACTTCATTTCATCTTTCTTGTGTAATACCTTACATGGATTTTCTATTTCATTAATTAATGGCAAGAGTAGTTGGTGTACTGATAACACCCTTCTTGCCTGCTATGCAGATGGTTCATATTTCCACAGCTTCAGGTACGTAAAATACTTCAACAAGATTTTTGCCACAAAGAAAGAAGTGTCAGGTGGATAACAAGAAACTCTGCAAACTGTTGGAGCCACAGTCACCCCCTTTGATGTTTTACAAGAAAAGTTACAGCTGAAAGGTTATTTTCACATTTGAAACATGCCATTTAAAATCCACACATTTGAAACACGCATTTAAAATCCACTTAAACACATTTAGGTACAAGCAGTGAATGCTGAGGCATGTTTACAAACAGATGTATTAATTATTAAGCTTTAATTGCAAGGCAAGAGAAATGTTAAAGCATAATATAGCCATTCTAAGCTAGACTCTTGGCTTTGTCTCCTAAACTCTGAACAACTCATCGTAGGAGTAACTACAGAACATTTGAATAGCTAGGTTAAAAGGACTATATAAAAAAAAGAAACCTCACAATTGCATCTATGTTTTTATCTGATAGATTCAGGTGAGTTATTTTTCGCAGGTACTGTGCCAAGTGCTCTTCATTGTGATGCTTGCGACCGATGCTTTTAGCAATTAGGTCTGTTGTCAGTCGAACCATAATTCTGTGGTAAGCCAAACTGCTCAGCTGCTTCTTTTAATAGTGTGCTCCACCTGCTTGTGTAAACAGCTTTAGGAAATGCCTTAAAAACAAAAAAGGAAAATATTATACCACTTGTATCCCAGATCTTCAGCAAAGCTTACATACATACTTCCAAACTGATGTTTCCCCACCAATTCCCTTTTCGCTTAGGGATTATTTATATATTGTCTTTGCTGCTTATGAAAACCTACCCTTTTGCTGTCATTTTTTCAAACCTTTAGTGCATTAAATAACTTTTTAAACATAGAATTGTATTTGATTTGTTGCTTCAGTATGCTTAAGAAGGCTGTAGCCTAGTCTTTGTCTTTTTCATATAGAAATATGAGCACAATGGTGCAGAGCAGAAGTAATTATCACACAATTAATTAATTAATAGCAGCTTATAACCTATTTATTAGTTAGAAAACGCATCACACTCTACAGAAGGTTTTACAGGCTCTGAGAAGCAGTACACAGCTACAGTACTCTTTGTACATCTGCACATACCTTTTGTCATGCACAGTGAAAAAAATGAGATTTTTGCACTGAGGCACAGTCTGTGCCGCTGTAGACGCTCTCCAAACGATACTGAATTTTTCTTTTTCAAACTTGGCCATTGCTCCCAAGTGACCTTATCAAATGGGGCATGTAGGCAAGGGAAGAAGGCAAGGCGTATTTCAGACCGGATGTATAAAGGGTCTGAGGATAAAAATACCCCAAAAAAATTTCTAACTTAACTACTCCAAATAAAAAAGTAGCTTTTTTTTTTTAAGTTAATACATAATATAATGTATATTATGTTTTTTAGCCAATACATAACTTCCCCACACCAGCATATCAAAACTGAGGAGGCAGCAAAAAGCACACTGTACTAACACCTATGCAGCCACATAAAGCAAGACACAGAGCATCCTCCCTGCCGGGATTAAATTTATGAGGAAAAGCAAAGATTGAAACTGTGAGAAGCAGCTTTCTTACTTACTAAGCTCAGTAGTTCCCCCTTACCCATGTGGGGTTTGTTTTGTGCTCTTTTAAAGGTGGAGAAGAATGAAAACTGAAAGGACGTTGTGTGTTTTTTCTACCGAGAAGTGCTTTTCTCTCTTGCTTTCTCAATAGAAGCACCTTTCAGAGCTCTTTCCTAGACCTTCTCCCACAGCACGCCAAGAGCAGAGGCAAGGCCAGGCCGCCGGTGCGGTGCTCTGCTACAGACAGTTCCCCTCCATCCCCCGCCATGTCACTGCCCCGTGTCCCGCGCCCCAGCACACACGGCGGAGGCCT